ACAGTCAGTACATAAGCTACTAGATCATTAGGTTGGTCTTCATAGGAAATAGTCTTCAAGAGCAAATAGTTGTGCATATTTTTGAACTCTAAATTTTAGCAAAGTGTTGTAAAGGTAGATTCTGTCGATAAAATAATTTGTGTTAGTGTTGAAACGATTTCTGATAGATTACCTGATCTATTTTAAAAAGCCTCAGTGGACCATTTTCCAGATTGGGGAATACGAATTAATTTTATAAGTGATGTGTAAGCTGCCTCATGTGAGGAACTAGGCAAACTGACAACCGAAAATCATAGCACATTGTACTTAATGCAAAGACAACTCAATGCAGAGGATTTTTTACTGAAATGTTTAGAATTAGTTTGTTTTTTATTTTTCTTTTTTGAAAATTCATTATCAGGGGTTTCAATAAGATTTCTAGTGGGCGGGCATTGCACTTTGACAGCCAGGCAGAAAAAGTATAAGGCCCAAAGGGCCTTGCAAAGGTACGGGGCAGAAAATTTTGAAATTCTAGAATTGCACAGATGCTCGCAAGAGTTTTTTAATTCTCTGTTTATATATATATAAATCTTCACAAACACCAGCCACACATAAACGATCCTCATGAACTCATATATACTATCACAAATGAAGACAAACTGCACAATTTAGTTGCACACCTATATTTCGACTGCCTACAACAGTCTTCCTCAGGGTGAATGAGCTGTTACAACCGCACGCGTCATTCTACTTTTAAAAGTAACAACCTTGACAAACGCGCGCGCGTAACTAATCTACCGCGCGCGCCAACACAAGTACACGATAAGTTACGTGCGTCTTGAACGCCTGTTCTGAGCAAAGAAAAAATCATTGTCATTAAGCCCATAAGGGCGCAAAGTGTTCAGTTTATAGGCCCATTGGCCTTCTTTGTCCCTCAGTTCTTCCTCTCCATTCACTCGATCTATCAATTGAATCCTGACATCCCTCAAGCCATCATGTCCGTCCCCACAAAAGTGCTTATACAAGAAGTCATCCTTCTTTTGCTCTGTTCCATTCAATCTCCCATGTCGTTTCATTCTGGCCTTATGATTATTGAACCTTAAACGAAACTTCGTTACAGTAGATCCAACATACTGTAGCGTACAGTTCCTGCAAGTTAGCAAGTAGTCTACGTTGCTCGAGTTACAATTGAGGCTATAATTAATGGAATATCTCCTTTCTGTATGTGAGCTCACGAAGTGGTCACTTTCATCGATATAATCGCAGACTTCGCATCTTCTTGACCCACACCGAGAAGTCCCCCGTTGTGTATCCTCTCTGCATCCTCTGCTTACTTTTGCTCGAACCAGATAGTCCGCCAAACTCTTCGGTTTCCTGAACGCCACCATTGGCACCTGCCCTATCGCTCTCTTACTCCTTTCCGAAGACTCCAAAACTGGATGAAGGTCCCGCAGTAACTTGTTTATATTCGGCAACCCAGGATGATAGGTTACCACAAAGGCGGTTCTTCCATTTCTCAAGTGTCCTTTACCTCTAAACGCCTCCACTCTCGTCAAGCGACGTACCCTCCCAAATTGGTTTTCCATATATATATGTATGTATATATATATTGTCCATTTTAATTGCTATACAAATCTTTAATTCGGCTACTTCGAAGAATTTGGTAATACATCGTTTGCTGATTTCGTTTTTCCCATCATCTGTCTGCTTGATTAAGTAGTAATATTGTAACGAGAAACACCAATATCACGCCTTCATTTCATGAAAATAATATTGTTCGTTATTGATGAGAGATGCAGTGTAATATAGTGTATTAGATGCCAAATAAAGGGCTTTCATGGAAAGCAAGTGATGGTCTCCATGTTGTATTCTTCGACCAGACATTTTACTCTCGCAGTGCTCCTCCTTACTAAGAATCCCTACGGGTATAAAAAAGGTAACAGGAAAATTATTCAGGCAATTTGGCCGGAAAGCTGAAGCAGAAAACCTTTGATGGACAACCTTCCCACTTGTAATCCAGCCATAAACCATCATGCTTCATGCTTTTGTAAGCCACCATACAAGGATACTTCATCTACCAAAAATGGTGTCTCACAATGTTCTGTCTTAGAACTCTTGTTGTAATGATCAATATTTTCATCAATGACTTACTTTACTACATGTAAGAGGTTCACCTGACAAATTACGCTTACGATAATCAGCTCTGATGCAGCTGTTGGTTGAAATGTTCTCGACGAGGAACTTGCGATTGTGTGTAATTAGTGGCGAAATAATAGGATAATCCTAGACCCTGAAAAATACAAGGCTCTGGTTCTGCATGTCGCGTAAACCCAATATTGATCTGTCCTTGTGTGTTGTAGGAGTAAATATACCGCAAGGTAATTCTTGATGGCTCACTGAAATTTGGGAAACACATTACAAAAATCAGCGAGAAAGTCGGAAAGCAGCTGGACGCATTTTCTAGACTGAAGAACATATTATCGTTTCGAACTAAGCTATGTCTCAGTCTACATTGTGTAACTCATTCAATATGTCTCATCTTAATCATTTTTCCWCGATATGGCATCACTGCTTAAAGTCTGATAGCAAGAAACTGAATAGGCTGCATAAAAGAGAACTTCGTTATCTATATATACAGCGACAAGTCTTGTGAGACTGTTTCTCTCACTGATCGTATTGATTAGATCCTTGAGATTCAAGTGATTTACGTGAACTCACAAGATTCAAGTGCCTAAACCTAATATTACTCGCTTTTGCTCAAAATCAGTAAACTACTCAGTGGCCGTTACTTGGAACAACATTTATGATACCATAAGATCCTAAAATTAAACACAACTTCATCCTCTAGCAAAACTGTCCGCATATTAGAATCACTATTATAGTTATAACTTGTGATTAAGTCTAATTTTTTTTCATTTTTCTCTTTTTTTCTTTGCTTCCTTTTTTATGAACTTTACTTGTATATTTTTTTTTTTATTTCTCGGCACATTAGCATACCGTAAATCTTCTAAGTAGCGCCCCCCTCGAATAAGCGCCCCCTTCGAATAAGCGCCCCTCCTATAGGCCAAAATTTAAAATTAGCGCCCCGCCCCCCTTCGAATAAGCGTCCCCTTCCCCACCCCCCATTTTGTGGACGAGTACTGAGACAATAAAGGATGTTTTCGTCGTGTAGTATTAGATTTGTACATTGTTTCAGTTTGTGAACAAGTTGCGTGAACACGTTGAACACGTTAAGTACCAACGGTGCCGCGATTTAAACTTTAGGATCAGCTTTTTATGTCGATCAACAGGTTATGTTGTTGTTTACGCGCAGATGATGTATTAAAAAAATGATCATGTCAGGCCACGATTTGGGAAAAATTAAATATGCGCCCTGGCCTAAAATTCAAATAAGCACCCCAGGCGCTAATTCGAGGTTTTACGGTACTTTATTGACTTTATTACTTGAGGCCTAATCACCGACTTCAACCCGAGAGTAAATAAAGCTATGTATCTGAGGTCTGACCGTGCTCGCAAAAACATGCCCACAAAAAATCAAGACAGACTAGAGACTGAAGGGACCTTGACCAACCACCTTGCCAGGAGATTGGCCAGTCACGCATCCACATGGCATGTGCCTCTGCAGCAGGGCCCTCTGTCAACACAAAACCCTCAAACAAGACCAACCTTGCCAAAATTCCCAGCCATACTGCGTCAAAATCAACATTATTTTCCACTGAAAACGCAAGTCTAGCTAAGTGAAGGTGTCACTAACCTTCCCCCTGCTTTTGACAGCTGGCCGCCAAAACCATTAGCAGATAGGCCATTGTCTGGATCATGTTATGTACACAGTGTGTATATACCATACTTGAACATTAAAACTCTCCTAGTTGAAGCCTTTTATAGAGAATACAGTCGAACCTCTCCACAACGACCACCATGTAGAGACGTGGCCGGTATGGAGAGGTAAGAGCGTAATATGACACCTGTTTTAGCGGGATGCAACATATTTTAAAAGAAAAATGCCCGTTTTGACATATAATTACATAACATATTTTAAAACATGTAAATAAAACAGATACTAAACAAAAATAGAAACCAATTGGAACGACGCGCGGTACGGATCAAGTTTGTGACCATTCACAACAAAAAATAGCCAGGGGCTCTGTATACACTGTTCGTCAGTCGTTGATTAACTGGCCGTTGTCAAGAGGCTATTAGGGACCTTAAGATTCGAGGACGTGAATGCCAGGACGGGAACGGCAGCGGACGCGGGAAACTTTCGCGGGTCCCGTTGTGTCACCAAAAACAAAATGCTTAAGATGTGTATTTTCGCAAAGGACGGCGACGTCAATAATTCGAACTTCGTACATGTACAAACTATTCACAGAAGCAATGACGTCCTTTAGACTATAAAAGAGATGGTAGAAAACTTATCCTTTTAAGCTTAAACGACAGTGAACAGCGATGCTGAATTTCTTTTCCTTTATAAGCGAAACAAACATCCGTCAATATTTTAATACAAAAACCAGAATTTCCGTATGAAAAAATTAAACGAATAATGTGATCGACCTGCTTCAGATGACTTTTTACCACCAGAGTGTTCGAGAATTCTGTCGCCGAAGATTCCTGACTTTTGATGAACATCTCAATTTTCTTCTGTAATTGTAACAAGGATTACAAAAATAAAGCAAAAATTGCATCATGTTCCGAATAGTATAAAAAAACAACTAAACATCAGTTTGAAAATGTGTATTTTATTTTCTATAGATGCTTTCATGGCATTTATTCTTACAACATTTTATCGACGGAGAGAGATGAGTCGAGCAGAGAGATGAGTCGAGCGTCCTCTTGCGCATGCCCGTTTGAGTAAATTTATCGTTTTTCTGTGCCCAGGCGAAATAGGAGGTTGCCTATTTACCGAGTTAGGATTTCGAGCTGGATTTCAAGTTGGATTTTCGAGTTGGATTTTCGAGTTAGGATTTTTTTGGCGGGATTTTTTTTTTTTTTT